AATATACATTGATACAAAAGGCGGTCTTATCGCTAAACAATCTCTTCCAGACTAGCTTTAGGTGGATAGAGAAATAAAAATAACAACAGGGTAGGTGGCACACGTAATAAATAAAAATAAATATATATGACTCAAATATACATAAATATAAATATATATACATATTAAGATTGGTAATATTACAGATAACATTAGTAATGTTATTTTTCGTTGTAATACATTCATTAGCGCTTACAACAATATCTGTGTATAGACACTAGTTCTAGAAAGAAAAGAAAGAAAATAAGAGAACAAAAAGCAAATGCGGGCTTCGTTAATGTTAGAACTTGAAAGTTTAAAGAACTGTTTGAGACCGATAAAACAAAGTGCAGGCGGGATCTGTGCAAGCTTTGTACTCAAATGCTTTTAAAATTTCAACTATTTAAGAATACGTTAGCTATAATTCCCTAGGATTATGTACATAGATTTATTGGTAAATGAAATTAGAAGAAAAAGTACATGCTGTGAAAGAGGACTACTGGCCGAAAGGTGTGGTGTATCGGCGCTACCGTGGCAGATTGCACTTAATAAAAGTTTAATAGTTTTTAAATATTATATTGTATGTATGTTAGTATATTATAACGCTATCGAAAAAAAGTACATGATGTGTAAAAAAGCACTTAATAAAAGTTTAATAGATAGGTATGTATATTTAACGCTATCGGTGGTGTAGCGGTTTAGGATCCAGGACCACCAGAAGTGAAGCGGTGCTTCACTTCTGGTAGTCACGGGTTCAATTCCTCGCACGGTAAAAACATTATGTATTCATGAGTATTATTGTTTGTATCGGTTAGGATATTTTCTATGTATATTATGTATGTATATACATAAAAATATCATTATATGTAACACCTTCCTCAAAATATTATCATCATTACATAATATAAAACAAAGTCGCTGTCGCTGTCTGTCCGTCCCAATGTGTGCTTAAATCTTTAAAACTACGCAACGGATTTTGTAGCATTTTTTTAAATAGGTAGAGTGATTCAAGAGGAAGGTATACATGTACACCCGGGCGAAGCCGGGGCGAGTAACTAGTACCGTGTATAGTTTTTGGCAATATATTTAAGAGAAAGGTTTATATGTGTAATATATGGATATTATAGTATGTACTGAAAAGTCGAGAAATGGGACGGATTGCTAGTATTATATGATCATATGTTCTCAGCCCTCTGTAACATTTACGATTTAAATCAATAAGTATCTTATTGTCAACTTATACTAAACTTTAACCTTTCTACTGTTAGCTCTTGTTCTTACTACTGTCTGTACATCACGTTTCTTACTACTGTCTGCTTGCCACGCAAAACCATGTTCTTGAATCACCTTTAAGTAAATTACAACAAAATATATTTAAAAATATTAAGACACTGACAACAAGGTGAGAACTGTTTTCATAAACGAATATTCATTAGAAACCGTTAAATCGCCCCATTATATCTTTTTAAATTATTTCTAATAAAAAAATATACTAACGGTATTAAGAGGAGTGTGTCCATAGAATTAAATTTTTGTTGTATTTTTCTACCTAAAGGTTGTCTGGAAGACATTGCTACTAGCGATAAGACCACCTTTTGTACTTCCATATCTCTTTTCTGTATAATTCTTATGTATTAATTCTATTGGTGCAATAAAGAGTTTATAAATAAATAAAAAAAAATTATATAGGTATATTTTTATGCTATGATTTTTTTTGTTACGATTATTTTTGCACCGCCAGCGATTTTTCTCTGGACTACCTATGGTTGACTGGTAGAAAATACCGCATGGTGTCCGCCAAATGTACTGTTGCTTTTGTACTGTGTGCATTAAAGTTATATAAATAAACTAGTTGTCCCGGCAACCGTTGTTTTGCCTTAAAATAAAAAAAAAATTAGGGGTTGAGGGGGTAAAAATAGATGTTGGCCGATTCTCAGACCTACTCAATACGCTCACAAAATTTCATGAGAATCGGTCAAGCCGTTTCGGAGGAATATGGGAACGAAAACTGTGACACGAGAATTTTATATATAAGATATATTACAATGAAAGTATTCTTCGGTATTCATTCTATCTCTGTTCAGAGACGTTATGTCTCCCCTTACCGAAGCGCGATAGCAATATTTTGAATCGAAATTTTGCCGTTAATATTTATTTATATATTTATTTGTTTTCAATATCTTAATTACAATTTTATATAGCATATAATATGACATAGATAATGTAATAAACACTAAAGAAACTTATCTTAAATTTAGTAATGACATATTGTAATTTAAATAATGTAAATTAAATATTGTAATGGGTGAAAACTGTGATTGGTACAGTTTATGCTGTAAATAATATAATTGACGTAGTGGAGTAACTTGAAACAGTCATGCTCGCTATAAAGTTCAAACTTGTGGCGGCGTGGTGGGCCGGGTCGATGTGCTCCCTCTAATATGGTTGAGTGCAATGATGGCTGGCTCATCCGTCATACTCGTGAACGGGTGCTGCTTGTGGGGACTGGTCTGTTCAGGTTGCGAACACTGATTAGATTTTTGATTTTTTTTTTATATAGCATATGCTGGTAGTCACTCTATTCTCCCAAATTTGAATTTAAATGAAATAATATTATTGTAAATATGTACAACATTAAAAAAAAATACGAGCTGAGTTTCTTGTCAGTTCTTCTCATCTCGAAATCATTCCAAACTGACGGTAGATTTGACATATCATAAGAGTCTGTAATATACCTACATGAATAAAGATATTTTGAATTTGAATTTGAATTTGAATATTTTATGCTGTCTTGGACTGTTCATAAGAATAATAATAATCTCAGGATAATTCATACAGCGCCATCTAGACCCAAGTCAAGCTAGATAAAGCTTGTGTTATGGGTCATAGATAACTGATAACAAGAACATAGATTTTTTTTTCGTAAATACATACATATTATACAGAGAAAACACCCGATACAAACAATCATACTAATCAATACAAATGTTTGTGCCGTGCGAGGAATCGAACCTACGACCATCGGAACCAAGGCGGTATGCTAAAACCACTAAACCACCGAGACCGTCAAATGAATAAGCTAAATCCTGCAATCATCCTAATGTGCTATATAAAAATATATTTTTGGCCACACATAATTACAACCGCACCTGAATATAGCTACTGTAGAATATTTGCATAGTAGTACTTATTATTTTTACGTTTTGTTCAGAGATAGGTCGGGAACATGCAGCCTTAATGTTTGGACTCAATTTAACTCGCAATCTGGTCACCGAATCTGAATTTATTTAAACTTTCCATATCAATCATTCGGACAGTAACGAAACGAGCTTTAGGTGTCGAGATAAAACACCTTTTAGAAAAATCCCATTTGCGATTATAACGTACTTTAATATTTACTTTATTTTATAGAAAATTATGAGATTTAAAATGAGAGATTTTGTTATAGTTTGGCAGTTGAGCACACTGGCTTTCTTCCGGACAGAGGCAGGTTCGATTTCGGTATAAAACAAAAATTTGTTTCCGTAACTACGATTGTATACACATGTGTAATTATCTACATACATATAATCACCATCTGCTTCTTGCTTATCATTCATTTGGAGTTGGCGTAATACGTTCTTCTCTTCCATACATATATTGTATGTATGTATTACAAAAATTCCATACCTGAAGAAGGACTTATGGTGCGACTGAAGGCCTACTCCCGCCTGACGGATACGACTTTAGTGTGAGGACACCGCTAGGGGTTCGAACCTCGGCTCAGGTTGTAGTAATTTTGATCTCCGTTTGAATTGAATAGGAAATCGATCAGAGGGGAGACTTAGTACCCATAGTGTAAGGTGTACTTACTTAGATTCAGCAGGATTTGTGACTTGCCAAAGGTTTTTTATTGTTTAATATTTATTTGTGGTTTCTAGTTTTCTTACTCTTTGTTTGTAGTCATAGTTATTTAAAGATATTGATGGATGACAGTCTCTGTGATCTAAGGGTTTGGTACACCGCCTTTTTTCGTCTCAGGTTCGATTCCTCGCACGGTAAAAATATTTGTATTCATGAATATGATGTAACGGTCTGGGTGTTTTTTTATGTATATTATGTATGTATTCATATCAGTTGTCTAAACATAAGCTCTGCTTAGCTTGGGACTAGATGGCGCTGTCTGAATTGTCCTAAGATATTATTATTGAATATTTAATTATTATTTACAAGTACTTTCATGTTGTTTCTGTCTACTCTCTTTAATTATAACTACATACAGCATCCTCTGTAGGTACATACCTGAAAAAAAAAGTATTATGTTTAGTAAATTAGTAAAATGTATTTAAATATATCGTCACGATTCTTATCACACATGGAGTAGACAGAGGTACTGTCAAATCAAAAGCAAATCTCGTCATGAACGCAACACTTAAAATGCAAATTTCGCTCTTCACTTTTGAATACAACTATGCAGGGGGCGAGCCTATAGCTGCTTCTCGGATGTTATTAGTAATTGAGAATAGAGTCACACACTTAAAATCATGTGATATATGTTTCTTGTATTATGTAGAACTAGGTTCTCATGTATTATATATATAAACCTTCCTCTTGAATCACTCCATCAATTAAAAAATCTGCTTCAAAATCCGTTGCGTAGCTTAAAGATTTACGCATATATAGAGACGAACAGACAGCGACAGCGACTTTGTTTTATACTATGTAATGATAACAGTTTTTTTCTATGTATTTGAAAGACTTAATTTGTCCATCGTGGCGAATTTACCAGAAATTAACACCGATGGTTTCCAGAGGGATCCGCGTGGAGGTCGACCTGATATGGTATATTGCTGCAAATAGGGATCCTATCCTCATTATTAACAACCCACACTCCCTATAGGCGGCGGTTACCTCTTACCATTTTGTCAGGTGGCCCATCAGTTAATTTGCCGTACCAATTACTTAAAAAGACATGTACATGAAAAATTTTATACGGTCTGTACCTGATACAGTCTTGCGCACATTCCCGAAGTCTGCAGTAGCTGCAGCTGCAAGATGAGTAGCAGGAACCGACGTCTGAATCGGCGAGGCTGACGGAATCGAACCTGTGTGCCAGCCCCTCGCCGGAACTCGGCACTGTGTGGGAACCGCGCCATCTGGAATATTGTCAAAGAACATCTTTGAATTAAAAACAAAAAAGGGGCAGTCACCATCAACATTAGCCTACTGCAGTTCACTGTTGGACTTAGGCCTCCCCCAAGGCACGATCTTGAGCCCTTCTCGTCCCGTAACCCTACATATGTAATAGCTCAAAAAGAATACCAGCACTGCAGATTTATCAGTCCTGTGTATCTATACATATATAACTCAAAGGTAACTGACATAGTGATCTATCAACGCACAGCCCAAACCACTGGACGGATCGGGCTGAAATTTAGCATGCAGCTAGATATTATGACGTAGGCATACTCTAAGAAAGGATTTTGATTAATTTTACCCCCAAGGGGATAAAATAGGGGATGAAAGTTTGTAGGAAACTTTGTCAATTTTAAACCGATCGGGCTGAGACTGTGCATGCATAAAGCTACTATGATGTAGGCATCCCCTAAAAAAGGATTTTGATAAATTCCACCCCTAAGGGGATAAATTAACGCGAGCAAAGCTGCGGGTAAAAGCTAGTTATACATAAAAACCTTTTTGAATCGCTCTATCTATTGCTGAAAACTACCTTAAAATCCGTTGCGTAATTTAAAAGATATATAAGAACAGACAGCGGCGCGTCGGCCATTTTGTTTTATATTATGTAAAGATATGCTTAAGTTATATGTATCTATTGTTATTTAGTGATATATAGTAATATATCATATTAGAGTATTATCTTTCTCTCACATAAGTGGGTAGTCCAGTATTTATGATGTAATAAATCGTCTGATTATCCTCGCTAGATAAAGGATTAACTGCGATAGTTAATCGCTTGAAACTATAACCGTCATTATAATGACTAGGAAATCTTTATTTTAGATTATATATTTTCAAATCTAATCAACTCAAAACTCATAAATTAATGTAGGACATTTTAGCCGCTTATGAACGTCAAGTTTTTTGTATTAATATTTTTTCCCTATCGTTCAATTGAGAAGAACTGGCAAGAAAGTCAAAAGTTACATATTTAAAACAACGATGGCTGGCTCACCCGTTATACTCGTGAACGGGTGCTGCTTGTAGGGACTGGTCTATTCTGATGACTATGATTGATTAATTTCCTATTGCAAATAACTATTTATTTATATCAACTTTGTCATTTGGCAGTTCGTATACACACATAATTCTTGAAAATGTAATTCTGTTTTTATGAATAACATTTATTTACCTTTATTTTAAAAGAGCAACTCACAAGTTTATTTCTCATTCTTCTTTTGATGAATCTGCGTTTCAAATGAGTGGTAGAACTAAAAAAACAAGTCATAAGTGCTTATATGAAGTTTTTTTGAATAAAGATAAACATTATTAAACATTTGAATAAAGATTATTTCTATTTTTAACAAATATTTTTAATAAACTTTTTCTGACAGAGCTTATCTGCATTATATTTCGTGATTTATATTCAACCTGTTCTTTATCTTTGGTTCTGACCTGTTTAAATGTTTAAGTGTGTTTTGTTTTATATCAATTTAAATGACTTTAATATTAAAATATTCACTATATACAGATGAAATATTCACAAACAGACTGATATGATGTCGCTTTCGCATTTATAATGTCAGGTTTTAGTGAGCATTGCTGTTTTAAATTTACGATCGCTTTCAATTACTGTATGGGAAAATAATTAAATAGTCCTTTAAAAAACTTTAAAATATTTTTTTAGTGATCCCTTTGAAGTGGAATGTCATACAAATGATTAAATGATTACCTATATGAAGAGCACTAAGACCATCACGTCATCATAATTATGATTCCCGTGATAGCATTCATGCGTTTCCATTTCGGAGAACTAAGATGTCATGTCTGTTATCCTATAATTTCACTAGAAACTTTTCGCCACGCACAAACACATTTTGGAATCACCTTCCAGCAATGATCTTTCGATCCGATACGATATTGAAACCTTCAAGAAAAGAGACTATTCCTTTTTAAGAGGCCGGCAACCCACTTGCATTTCCCTCTGGTGTTGCGGGTGCTCATGGGCGGCGATAATCATTTACCATCAGGTGAGCCGCAGACTCGTTTGTCCCCTGTGTTATAAAACAAAACCTTCCAAAGCATAGCCGAATTAGATTCTTGGTGACTGAAATAAGTCAAGCAGACTTCGTGCAAAGTCAACTTTGGCAACAAATATGATGAGAATACTTTAAACTCACCTCGCGCTTTTAGAGTCTACATGTTCAATGACCACATTCCAAGTTCTGTGTATAAGGTACAAGAGGAACAGTATTCTAGAAGATTCCGCTTGTGGTGGCACCTCTCTCTTCTTGCCCTGCCATTTTTTACTGTTGGTACTACTGAGTCCGCTTCCCATTTCGGCGAATTTAGAATTACTTCATTTCTATTGTGATGTTCAAAGAGTCTTGACGTATGGCCTGGTCATCTGGAATTAATAAAAATAAATGTCATAATACAAGACTATAATTAAATTTGATGCAACACGCAAATTTCCTGCTAGTTTTTCTTGTGATGAGTCTGCTTTCCGAATTAATTTTGTATTAATCATACAAAAAAGTGATTACTCAAAAGTGCTTCTACTAATATTATTTGATAAAGGAGATAATGGTTTTTAAAAAAATTACAATTTCAGTTGGACAGGGATAGTAAGACGAGCGGTAAGGATGAGTGTTGACGTACGCCGGCAAGGACGGACGGACGGACGGACGGAAGAAGTATGGCGTCTAGGTTTAAGGGCCTTAAACTTAGACGCCATACTTCTTCGAAAGGACTTAACGGATTTTGATGAAACCTATTCCATATAAACCCAGGTCTGTGAATAGGTTATCTATTTTTATACCCCCAAGTGATAACCACCCCAAATACTTTAGATTTCATAGGATTTTTATATGTGGCATTAAAAATACATACACTCCTAAATTTTACTTCAATTTATATGGCATAGTGGTTGAAAGGGGATATGAAGGATTGTATGGAAGTATCGTCATTTTTAAAGCTAGAAGCTTGAAACCTATTTTTGATGATTTTAATTAAACAGAAATAAATATGACATTCAAAGTTTGTAAAAATATAACCTTAAGGGGATAAAATAAAATAGGGTATGGAAAATCGTAATTTTTGAAGCTAGAGGGATGATACTTTTTTTCCCCTTTTATGGGTTCGATTGAATATTTTTTTTTTATTTTGTCTAGGTTACTATAACACGCAGACAAAGTCGCGGGCACAGTTAGTATCTTAATCTTAATAATATTATAAACGCAAAGGTTTGTAACTATGTATGTTTATTACTCTTTCACGCAAAAACTACTGAACGGATTTTGATGAAACTTTACAGTAGTATAGCTTATGCATCAGAATAACACATAGGCTATATTTTTTATCGAAATTTAACGCGGGCGAATCCGCGGGTACTGCTAGTTTACATATAAATGTAAAATGCGAGTAAATAAGACTACAGGTACAAGACATTACAAGCTGTACGTCTGTAAGTTTATATTTATTGAGTAGATGCAGCAAAGTTGGGTTTATTTGTGGCGAGCTGTAATCCAGATATTTATTATACCTCGGGTCGGGCCCGTTGTACACATTGGTTCTCCGGGTGCAGGTAATGGCGTCTGTACTTCATTTTCATATATTCTACTATAGTTCTTATTTACTGTACGTATAAATAACAATATCATGTCATGAGAAGACGAGATGTCTTAAAGGAAGTTTGTTTGTAATGTTTTATTGTACAGTTATGTATGAAAAGACCCATTTGACTTAGAAAATAAATATAATGTCGGATATCTTCGTGATCTTCGTTCTTTCAGTCAACCTTGACTGACTGAGAGGAATTGTTAATAATAATCTCAGGACAATCCACACAGCGCCATCTAGACCCAAATTAAGCCAGCTAAAGCTTGTGTTATAGGCACTAGACAACTGATGCAAATATGATAAACTGATACATAGATATTTTTTTTTCATAAATACATATACATTATACATAGCAGACACCCAGACCGATACAAACAATCATACTCATGAATACAAATGTTTGTGCCGTGCGTGGAATCGAACCCGCGACCATCGGACGTAATGCGGCGTGTTAGACCGCTAGACCACCGAGGTCGTAATCGTTAAAATTATAAAATACATATATAGCGTCTATCCGTCCTTCTATATCTATATATAACAGATGGACACTATTGTCCATCTGTTATTTTCCTAATAAACTAATTAATACATATTTTGTATATTGAAACTATTAGTACGAGAAAACCAATAGTTTATACCAGTGCTGGATGATAAGAGTCACTAAAATGACCAGATAATGAACAGAGATTAAGTGCGTAGCGGTTTCTATGTTGATTGTCGCATGCCTAATCCTTGTTATTAATTAAATATAAGTAAATCAATATTTATTTTAAAGAGCAACACACAAATTTCTTGCTTATTCTTCTTGTGATGAATCTGCATTCCGAATAAGCGGTAGAATCAAAACACTTGACTATTCAAAAGTGCTTATATTAAGTTTATTTGAATAAAGATTATTTCTATTTCTATATGTGGTGGTCCGGGTCATTAGGCCCCCTAAAATATGTTCTAGCGCAGATGGCTGACTCATCCGTCATACTCGTGAACGAGTACTGCTTGTAGGGACTGGTCTGCTCTAATCACTACAACTGATTTACTTTTATTTAGTTGCTTAACCAGTTGGTTGTATTTTTAATATTTTCTCTATTGGAGTATGTAATTGAATTAGTGCTATTTAGTACACACTTCAATTTTAAATGTAAAGAATCAATAAAATTATTTAAAAAAGCAACACGCAAGTTTCCTGCTCGTTCTTCTTGTGATGAGACTTTCCAAATGAGCGGTAGATTAAAAAAATGTGATGACAATTCAAAAGTGCTTCAATGTAAGTTTATTTGAATAAATTATTTTCTATTCTTCACCTACTTCTACTGCCAAGTAGCACCTTAGAAGTAGAGAAGTAGTGGTAAGTAGGTGAGATAGAGATGATCATATACATGACTGTGCATAAATTCAACTTCAATTAGAAAATAAGTAATTATTTTTAACAATTTCTTTACTTTTCAATCAAATCGTGTAATAACCTCACCTACTTCAATACCACAATTAGTCTTAAAAACTTTCTAAAGAAATTCAGTAACAAAAAATATTACTCGTTGGATGTTTAAAATTCTGCCCTCAAAGTTTAACTGAGAGCTATTTCGTTTAATTCCACTTTGTTTAATGACACTAATTCCACTAGTTAATATAATGGACTTCTTCAAAGTAATACCTGACTTAATTAAAGGCTCCTTCGAGAAGTTTTGAATACTTAAATTAGAAATCTTACGGAATTCCGAGCTCGGAACTGTTTTGTTTTTCTCCGAACGGGTTAAGAACTTGTGAATAATATGCAGTTATGAATAAAATGGAAAATTCTGTATTCAAATAAACTTTAATTTAATCACTTTGCCATACTTACTTTTTTATTTATCGCTCATTTGGAAAGCAGTCTCATCACAAGAAGAACGAGCAACAAACTGAAACTAGATGCATCTATGAAGTTACCAACTTTAGAAGTCATTTGCATGTTATTGTTAGGTGAAACTATCATCATCCATTTCAGCCCGGAAGACGTTCACTACTTAACAAATGCCTCCCCCAAAAATCTTCACGACGATCGGTCTTGCGCTCCTTGCAACCAACGCTTTCCAGCCATCTTGACCAGTTCATCGGTTCACCTTGACGGTGGTCTCCCCACGCTGCATCTTCCGGTCCGCGTCCCCACTCGAGGACTTTACTGCTGCAACGGCTATCTGTCCTACGAGCTATGTGTTCTGCCCATTGCCACTTCAGTTACGCAATTCAACAGATGGGTGTAGATCATTATTCCGTGGCTATGAAAGTTATAGTGCAAATATGTGTTTTTTTCTTTTTATCTATATTACATTAAGCAGATAGATAGACGATGCAAGTAACACATTTTTTATGAAAAGTATGATAATGCAGCCGAGGTAAGAACAACCTCAGCCATAATTGCTATATACCCAAATTTTATGATGATTGTTTAAATTGATCGGGAAACTCTTGTTTTCATTTGAAAGATATGATTATGCTGTTTTAGATAAAAATAAATTCATAAAATTTTTTTTATATTATTATCCTTTTTAGTATAAGCTACGGCCCATCTGATGGTAAATGTTTTCCGTAACCTATGAACGCCTGAAACACCTGGGGTATCACGTGGGCGTTGCTGAACCTTAAGAAACCTTAATGTACCCGTCTTGAAAATACTTTTGAATAGTCATAACCTTTTTTTTTTAAAATACCGCTCATTCGGAATGCTGTCTCATCACAAGAAGAACAAGCAAGAAACTTGTGTTGCTCTTTTAAATAATTTATTCTTACTTACAATTTAAGTTTACGTGTGTAATATAAAACCACCGATAACTAACTAATTTATAAAAAATAATAAAATAGAAAAAACATTCAATACACAACAACTGGTTAAACAATTAATAAGAGGAAATAAGTCATAGTATAATATAGCAGCACCCGTTCACGAGTATGACGGATGAGCCAGCCACCACTGCGCTCGACCATATTTTAGGGAGCCCAATGACCCGGCCCACCACGCCGCCATAAGTCAAGTAGTCTAAGTTACTCCTTATTACGAGTATATCAGCTACCTGCCAAAAAAATTTTGTCAAAATCGGTCCAGCCATTTCAAAGATTAGCCGGAACAAACAGACAGAGAGACAAAAATTGTAATAAATGTAATTTTGGTGTATATACCATATTTATATTCATATGCATGTAGTAAAAAACGGTTATTTCAATATTACAAATAGACACTCCAATTTTATTTATATGTATAGATGTATAGGTTAGCACAAATAAGTTAAAATTCAATAAATGGGCTATCTAAGACTATACTAACATTTAGTATAGTCTTAGATAGCCCATTTATTGAACTTTACGGACGCTGCGACTAACGAGAGCGAAGCAGCAATCTTGTTAATATTATATTATAAACGCGAAAATGAGTGACTATAGATGGATAGAATGTTTGTTACTCTTTCACGCAAAAACTACTAAACGGATTATTATGAAACTTTACAGTAATATAGCTTAACATCAGAATAACATATAGGCTATAAATTTCATGCGGTTGAAATCGCGGGCACAGCTGGTATACAATATATTGCAGTAACTAGGAAAATGTAACGTAGATGACGCTGCACTGGTAAATTAGTAGAAACTCAATAAAATCACAGTTAAAGAGATATAGAGGAGTTATTTTATTATATAGTTGCTTTTTTTTTATAACACAGGGGACAAACGGGCATGCGGCTCACCTGATGGTAAGTGATTACCGCCGCCCATGAGCACCCGCAACACCAGGGGAATTGCAAGTACATTGTCGGC